ATAAATAAATAAATAAATATATATATATAAAGAAAAGCTTCGTTATTTATATGCATTCCATACATCTGTAATCTGATTTCTTGATTAAGGATGTTAATGGATAAGGTATGAGATAGATAGATTATTTTTTATTCTAATTTCTGAATTTTTATATTATATTTATTCTCGTACCTATACCCAACAGATTTTTCAAATATATCCTCATGCTCATCCCTTAATGAGATAATTTTCATACTCATAACTTTTTAAAAAATATAAATCATAATTTATTTTTTTAGCTTTTTTATTTTTAATTTGTATATTTAGGTATTTTTTATAAATATATTAATATATATTTTTTCAATAAAAATATATTAATTTTAATTAATTTAAAATAATAATATATATTATTTAAAAAATCTTTTTACTAAATATATATATAAATACATATGTAGGATACAAAAAAGAGATGGGTACTATATTATCCATCTTATATACTTTCTCATATCTAATAAAAATTTAAAATTATATTTATACATATCCTCATCTCAGTACTCACAATATATTATCTACCCTAATCTCTATACCATTTGGATAAAATATTGAATTCCCCATTAAATATGAATAATATTGACATTACTATTTTTAATTAAAGAAATAATCTAAAATTTCATCATATGTGTACAAGAGATATAAATACTGAAAAAAAGATGAAAAGAGCTGGTATTAATTGTAAAACATAAAAGAGTAAAACAAATTAAAGAAAAACAAAACTAAAATGTCCAAAAATGAAGTATAATTAATATATATTGATTGAGATTAAAACTTATTCTTCAACAATCACATATTTGCTTAATTAAAATTTTAAATCCTGTGCTTTAGTTGATCATATATGGTATAATCATTTCTTTAAAATAATTATAACAATCTCTTTTAAATTTTGGCTGTTTTAATTCAGATAATTAAATTTTATATATAGTAGTGGGCTAATTATATGATGAGTTTAGTTGAAATTAATACAAAGAACACTTATAAAAAATTATAGGAGGTGAATCAATTTGGACGGCAGACACTTTTCATGGCACAATTGGTCCTTTTGGTGTAATTTCTAGGCTAATAGATTTGAGAAACAGTGATTGGCTGAGCGCAAATGACTTTCAAAAAGTGCCACATTGCTTTCCGTGGATAACAAGTTTCATTCCGTTCCTTTACGGAGAAACTTGTTTTTGGACGGGTTGAGGAAGTCAAACACGTCCTTGTTAAAGACCAAGAACTCTGTCTTGCTGAATCAAATCTGTTGGATATGCTCTCAATCAGGACAGAAACACATACTTTACGAATGGATTGCTGTCTTTTTAACGTTGTCGCAACATGTTTAGAGTTTCGAGTCCCATTGGTCGTTTTCGAGCTGTCGTGCTCTGATCATAAAAATCTCAAAATGTTGAGGCAAATCAAATTAATTAGGAGACTGATGACGCTGATGATCAAGACCTCAACTCATCTTTATGTAACATTAAGATGAAATGACCCCAAGAAATTAAATCAATACCACAAGCTAAACTCCAGCCATAATTACAACAACAGTTACAAAGAATTCAAAACAAACAACTTGTGAGTAATATATTGATCACTGTAAGTCTGTAACAATAACATAAAAAAAAAAAAAAAACCAATTTAATAATTATAAACAAATACTGATTGGCAAATTAATAATAATAAGAGCACTGTTCAAAAATCCCAAAAAGACAAACTAAAAATGATAGATAATAAGTATCAAGGGAGATATTGTTATACATATGCCCTAACTAACAGACTACTGCTGGCGGCCACTACAGGTTCATTTTGGTTCATTCATATAAGGTGGGTAAGATGTCATGTTAGGCATCGATGGATGAAAAAAAGATTTTTGTTATCCCTAATTAAGTATTTCATAAACAGCATCCAAACACATGAAAATATTTGTATGCTTGTAGCAAAACCCCTTCTAAGTAGAGCCCCACTTGGATTATAAAAACATTATTCAGATCATTATGTGGCTTTATTATATCTGAGAAAATCTTTGCTGATCTATCCTTACATAATTAAGTTTGTCTTGAAGTGATAGGACTTCCCCAATCATACAAGCCCTTGCCCATTAATTACATAGGGGCAATTAGGTACTCCATGCAAGACTGGAACAATTAGGCTCTTATTAAGTAAACACTTTTTTTTTTTTTTTATTTCAAATTAAATGAAACCAAATTACAGGCCGTCAACTCCTTTTTATCTTGCTCATTAATTGGGAAAATCAACTTGACACACTTTAGCAAGTATTATTGTGATACTAAATAATGCTAAAAAGTTTAGTGGTGTCGGCGGCCGGCCAGGAATTTTCTTTTCTCCTTCTTACTTTCCTTGGTCATTTGTCTAATGAAACATGGAGTAACATTTAATTTAAGCATTGTGTAATAATATATGGGATTTGGAATGAGAAAGTAGGCAAATAGGCAATAAATTGAGTTGCCTTTTGAATGTATCCAGATTATTTTTATTGTTCCTTGGGTCAAAAGTTAGGAACTTATTTCTTCAAATTTTGCATCAGTAAGTACTGCTAGTGATGGTGGGTTCCGAATTTCTGTTGCATGAAGTGACGTGTAGTGAACGTGAAACCAAAAATAACGTTGTGAATGGAACTGTTCACACTGTTAGAGTGAACTCATTTTGACCAGATCAGAGCCCCCTCTACATGCACGTTTACCGTATTCTTCACGTGTCAAACCGCCAAAGCTGCTAATTAGCAACTTCCAAGCAAATGGGCATTGCCCTCTGCCGTACGCTTATGGCTATGCTCATATTTTTTTTTTTGTTATGTTCAATGAGCTGGACATGCACATGTGAATGTGGATAAGAAAATAAAGATGGCCACCAATTATTTTACGAATTAATGCAATCTTGAATTATAAAAGAAAAAATAACACAAGCACCCAATCTTGAATGTTTCTCCAATTTCTAATTTTCCATTGGCATTGAAATGGAATTATGAGGAAATTAACGCCAGGTGAAGGCAAAAATGGATGACCATTGAAGCGCTTGGGTAATTAATAAGCTAAAAAGGCTGACATATATAATTGAAATGATTATAATATAGTCTTAAAATCACATTTACTGTGATTATAGGAGGATGTAAATGTGTTAATAGGAAAAGAAAAAGAAATACTTGACATGAAAACAAAGATTAAGCAATATTACTGTATTTATATAAAGCAACATTTCACATCAAATGCCACATCAACTATCGGTGGAGATTTTATCTTGACAATTTCCTTTTAGACTTGTTGAACCTGTCTTCCGAAATAGTATAGATTTTTGACTAAGACACTTGGTTCTTCAACTTTAATTGGAATGTAAATCGCACACAGTTTAAGCTAACCCCTATGGCCTATGATTTTAATACCAATGGTGACTTTGGTTTCATTTCATTGTCATTCTAACATAATTAAATAACGATTTTTTGTAACAATTCTAAAAAAGAAAAAGAAAAAGAATATATATGCAAGAGTAAGAATACATAGCTAATTAATTAAGTGTATATATCCTTCATAAAATTGTAATGGGTTTTGAAGTTTTTGGCTTTTTGCATAACATATATAGGCGTAACATCTAGTTTTCAAATCTAAATGCCCCGCAACTGTACGGTTGGTTTTATTTTATACAATTATTATATTATAGTATTTTTCTATGAAAAGCTTTTGATTCATTAATCCGTGTTTGATGTCAAGTGATAAATAAAAATATACTAAGGATGTAACCAAAAAATTATAGAAATAATTATAATTCTCTATTATATTGTAAGAATTTTTTTAGCAATTTGAACATTAATGAGTAAGATTATCTAATTATGTCAAACTGCTAAAAAAACCCAATTTAATGTGTCGCAAAAGTAAAGCGTTAAAATGGAAGCATAATCCTGAACTAAAATGTAATTAATTAATTATCCAAAACCAGCATGAAAATATGACGGCATATTTTTTTATTGATAGAAAAAACAAAAGACAATTATGATACACATAAAATTAATCTGAAGCTTGCAATGACAGCCCCACTTGATGATATGGATATATACATATATATATATATATATACATATATATATATAGCTGATACCCTTGACCCTCCGTGGCTGCGGGTTATGAACTTTGACCGTTGACAGCTGCAAGCCTAAGCACCATCCCAGTTGACAAAAAATCCGTGGCCATGCCATATTAATATATATATATATGATCTTTGCTGTCAGGTGTGGGCCCTGATCCCCAACCTCAATGGTGGATGCCTTAGTTACTGACCCAGCTAGGCAAGCTCTCCTTTAATATTCAGAAACATTTCTTTTTCCATTTTAAAGACACATTGGTTGTATATTATTCTCTTGGGATTGGACCATACGCACATATATACAAGACTACGTCTTAATTTGTACACAGGAAATTAATTCAATTTGCATGGATGTATGCAGGATGGATTCCCATTTCCTAAACCGATTCATTTTCTCAATAATTACCTACTTACTACTTTAGATTAAGTAACCATGAATTACATAAAATATTTTAATACTCCATCTCATCTATTGTTTTTGTTTATTTTTTCTTTTTAAGATATCTTCAAATTATATATATATATATTTTAACATTTAAAATTCTTATTTTTATATTTTAAATTATATTTTATAATTTTTTAAATTTTTTGCCATAAATTATAAAATTTTAATTCTAATATTAATATTAAAGCTTAAATTTTTTTTAAAAATTTTATAAAATTTAATATAATAAATATTTTAAGACGGAGAGAATATTAGTAAAAGAAAATCCAGCAAACCCAAATAACTAATATGTCCTATTTCAAGTGGATTACGCGTCAATTCCTCGTCAATGACCAGTAGAAATTCCATCGCAAGCTTCGTGTACAAATTGAAAAGTTAACTGCATGAAGGATACCAAAATACCTCATTTATTTAAGTAGTAGAAAAATAATTTTAAAAATTAAGAAAATTAAATGGAAAACAAAGGCCTATATAAACCGACTCCCGCTATTTCTGCCTCTCTCGCCATCAGACTGCACAACTCAAACACAAAACGCACATTCCCTTCTCGCTCTTTCTCTCTCTCTTTCGATGGATTCCTCTCCTTGCTCCTCCGTCATCATCATCGGCGCCGGTGTCTCCGGTTCGTAACATAAAACAATCAAACCAAACAATACATTAATTCTTTTAAACCAACAAACACGTAGATATATGCATGTTAAATGTTATAATTATGAGTTAATTAATAATTTGAAAACGGTTGTTCTCAACGAGGAATTATGTTTTTAATTGATCATTTTTGAATTCTGCTTAGGCATGTCGGCGGCGAAGGTTTTGGCTGAGAACGGAATTCAGGATTTGATGATCTTGGAAGCGTCCGATAGAATTGGTGGTAGGATCCGGAAAGAAAAGTTCGGAGGCGTGTCCGTGGAGCTCGGAGCGGGTTGGATCGCCGGTGTTGGTGGCAAAGAGGCCAACCCCGTATGGGAGCTTGCCGCACAGTTGGGCCTTCGGACCTGCTTCTCTGACTACAGCAATGCCCGCTACAACATATATGATCGGAGGTCCGAATCTGAAACCCAGAATCCTTAACTATTTTCTTTGGCGGTGAATGGCTGAGCTTTGAAAATTACTAAACGACAAAACATTTTTCTCTGAACAACGCTGTGCGGACATTTTGATTTGCCGGCGTAAATTAACATTTTTTGTCGTCTCTGTTTTTCTAGGAAAAAAAAGTGAAATGAAATTCTTTGTCATATGAATTAAAGTTGAATATTTGTATGAATGAGTTGCAGCGGAAAGATATTTCCGAGTGGAATCGCGGCGGACTCGTACAAGAAAGCGGTGGACTCAGCGATTCAGAAACTAAGGGACTTAGAGGCAAACTGTGTCGACGATGGCTCAAATGGAACCGAGTTACCTTTGTAAGAAGAACATATGATAATCTCATAATTATTGATTACTAATTTAATACTGGTATTGTTTTTTAATTCTCACAGGTGCCAGTGAATTAATTTTTCCTATTTCTTTTTGGTTTTCATCTGTGAATTTTTTAGAACACCGAAGACACCAATAGAGCTCGCAATTGACTTCATATTACACGATTTTGAAATGGCAGGCAAGTTCCGTAACTCAATTTTGTTTTCCCCTGTTTAGATGCTAAGAAAAGTCAAGCAATGCAAATGAAGATATTTTAGTTATGATTCATACATTTGGAAATTTGGGTTGGTTTTGCTTCGTGAAAAATATGCTCAGAAAATCTTGATAGTGTCATTAGAAATTTCTATACACAAATTTCTGTTTTTACTTTCACATTGAACAGAGCAATAAATTTCCCTCTCTGTGTTTTTTTTTTTGGGGGGGGCGCTAATGCTTGTTTTGGCATACAGAGGTGGAGCCAATATCAACATACGTAGACTTTGGGGAAAGAGAGTTTTTGGTGGCAGATGAAAGAGGTTATGAATTTTTACTCTATAAAATGGCTGAGGAATTTCTATTTACCTCGGAGGGTAAAATCCTGGACAATCGCCTCAAACTCAACAAGGTATAAAATCCAATTTATTGATTTATTTTGCTTCACCTTTCAATATGTTTTGCTTTCTTTAATCAATTTTTTAGTCCATAATATTTGGTTTTTTCTTGTCACTCAATAATGGGATGAAAACAAAGGGACAGAGGGGTAATGAGATATTAAACATAGAAGAAAAAAAAGAGCAAAAAGTTTGCAAAAAAAAAAAAAAAGAAAATCTGAAACTCTGTTTTGTATGCATGCACTGCTTTCTTTTTGTTGTTAAGATCGATTGACCCACTTTTGGGAGTTCGCAGATAATGACGTTTACTTAAAATATTTTAACCTTTGTTTATTTTATTATTATTTCTTAGGTACACCTTTTTCTTCACTTTGGGTATTGATTTTTGGTTTCTATTTTTCAATTTATTTTCTTGATTAATTATATTGCTTCTCTTTTTTCTTGCCATCATCATAATAAATCATGACCATAGAGACATAAACCACTGCTCATCAGTAGTTAATATTAATGCTAGTATATTTTCTCGTTGAAAATATTGGATTTTTTTGGCTGTTTCTTTTCTTGATTCAGAAGCTGAACTCATCTTTTCTATCACTGTAATGATATTATCCAATGTTTGAAAACAAGAAAATAATTAGTCAACCTTCAAATGTTGGGTCCGTTCCCAACTATGAACAATTTCAATGATGCTAAGAAGTGAAACTCATAAACAGACTATAATTTCACCTTTCATTTTTCATTTCAATCATATAGCCATGAATTCAGTCAATGTTTCAAACCTTTCAGGCACTTTTACCTTACTATAATCGATCAGTAGGGCCCCAAATTCCCCAATTTTCACTATCCCACACACTGTCCACAATGGCCAGAGAACAACACCCAGGAGTTGAGATGTCTTATCAAACTCACATAAGAACTTGCAAATAGAGAGACTTGTCATTTTCTCCATTTAATATGTTGGTGTCTTCGCTAGCTCGATTGCTCTAAAATCAGAAATCAATGAAGCTTTCCCTTTTTTGTTTTTTACTAATATTCACGGTGCCTTTTAAAATCCTCCCATAAATGGGTAATGGGGGCATGGGGCTCCATGTACTTCCTTCAATAAATCTTTGCTTTTCTGCTTCTGATATCTGAACTGCACGGGTTTTCATGCTTTGACTTCTGAGAATCTTATGAGACCCGTTCGCTGTTACCTTGGACTTTTCCTACTCGCAATTTTTTTAAAAAGAAATTTCAATTAACTAATCATTTCTGTATACTAGTAGTAATTATATGCTGAAGATGTTTCTTTGTGCATGGATTTGGGGCAGGTTGTCAGGGAATTACAGCACTCGAGAAACGGCGTCACGGTGACAACAGAGGATGGCTGTGTTTACGAAGCTAACTACGTGATTTTGTCTGTTAGCATTGGTGTTCTCCAAAGCGACCTTATTTCCTTCAGGCCACCCTTGCCCGTACGTATTCTCTTTATTCTATGTTTTCATCTCCCACTTTTATATAGTAAAAACATTAAAATCTTGCAATTGTATAAACACTTGTTCATCAACATTATCAACATCAATTGGAAGATCTTGACAGTTGAATGCAATAGGATAACAACCCTAGGCTATGGGTCCCCGTAGATGGGAGTTGCCAAATTTTTTTCCTGATTTTTTTAAGTTGTGGGCCACAATATTGAATGTCATAAAGTTAGAGTCAGAATTCATGGTTCTAGCCACTTAGTTGTTTTGAATACAGGTTGCTGGTGGGTGATGAAAGGGATATATTTTTTCGAGGTGCCTTTATTATATACAAAAACCATGGGTTGCACGATGATCCACAGGTTTTGTAACCCATAGGTTCATGTGATTAGCTCTTTTCTGGCTTTGAGATTTTTTTAGTACAGCACGTGTACGGTACGGGTGCTAATTTGCAAATAAAATAAATTGTGACAACTGCGTTTCATTTTCTTGAAAAATGGTACTATTACATACTAATTAAACAGGCTAGTCTGAGCAATATTAGAATGTGTGGACTTCAAAGCCTAAACCTACTTTACCTGGTTAACTTCGGCTTCATCGTTAGCATTTTTAAAAACATAGTTATGTATGAGTATGACAGATAGCTGTGGCCACTTTACTCGGAGGAGTGTTTAGGTAAATCCATGATTTTAGCGTTTTTCTTAGCAGGTAAGCCATGTTTAGACCTACTTATCATTCATCCCCATGATTTTCCTTATTATATCCCATGCAATTATTTTTTGTAGTGGTCCACGGGCTTAAAAGTGCTTAATCGTGTAAATTTTCCTTTGATTATCATAAATACACTTTTGCTTGCTCAAATACTAATATATAAAAAAAATTAATAATAACAGAGGTGGAAAACGGAAGCCATAGAGAAATGTGACGTTATGGTGTATACCAAGATCTTCCTCAAGTTTCCGTATAAGTTCTGGCCTTGTGGGCCTGAGAAAGAGTTTTTCATCTATGCTCACGAGAGGAGAGGCTATTACACGTTTTGGCAGGTTAGTTTAATCGTTATTTCCTTTATGACATTGTTGCCAGCTAACTTTGATGTTTGATCTGACTAATTAATCCTCTTGTTATTGCTGCCACTCTGGTATAATGAAAATTCAATCCTCATTTTTCTTACTATTTTGAAAGAGTGCTTTGTAGTGTGCACTGCCCTTGATCCTAGGATGCTCTATTTATCATGTAATTAAAAAAACCCCTTTTCCTGCATAAAATGACAATGCTGTAATGTTACATAAATGAATATGCAGCCACTGAATACAAGTTTCTGTAATTACTGGCATATAGTATTAACTTCTTATGAGGTTGGTGGTTGACTTTATCGGTTGTCATATTTTTGGGACTATAATAAACATTTAACAACATAGCAGCCTACATGGTATGTAATGACTAATAGTAATACTATGGATGTGTGTAATATGTCAAAGCTACTTGTATGTATATAACACCTTGAATCAAGTTTTGGGGTGCAACTTCTTCAGCTATAAGACATTAATTAAAATTTTAGTTAATATTTTCCTTGAAGAGATTGCAAACTGCGAGAGATGTTAGCACGGAATAGTTTCTCCTTCATGTTTATCTGATATTTTGCCACTGTCTTGGTGCTGTGAATTGATAGCATTATAGGAACCAGTCACTATCTGTGCTATTAATTAAAATTTTAGTTAATATTTTCCTTGCAGAGATTACAAACGGCGAGAGATATGTTAGCACGGAATAGTTTCTCCTTTACGTTGTATCTGATATTTTGCCACTGTCTTAGTGCTGTGAATTGATAGCATTATAGGAACCAGTCACTATCTGTGCTATTTGCTGTGTGTTTATGGAGAGAATGAAACGCCTTTGGTAATCCGTTTGATGCCCACAAAATCATAAATCACTTTTCTTGCTTGATTCGAAGAAAACAGAAACTTTTTTTAATGATCATAGGTGGCCTCTAGTGGAGGGAATATTGGATCACACTGTCTTTATCTTATTGTGTTAGTTTTTCAATGTAGATTCTTTACTTGTATAATGGTTAATAAAAAAATTATACTATTTTGAATGAGAATCCTACATCTTTATGCATCTAGGAAGAGATTGTATCATCCATTAATTTATAACTACGTCTTGAATTCATCAAAATTGGCTGCTGATCTGTTGCTATGTCACCAGCACATGGAAAATGCATACCCTGGTTCGAATATTTTGGTCGTAACATTGACGAATGGTGAGTCAAAACGTGTGGAAGCTCAATCAGACGAAGAGACGTTGAAGGAAGCTATGGGTGTGCTTAGAGACATGTTTGGGCCTGACATACCAAATGCCACTAATATACTTGTTCCCCGCTGGTGGAATAACAGGTTCCAGCGTGGCAGCTACAGCAACTACCCTATAATCTCTAATAACCAAGTCGTTAATGATATTAAGGTAACTCGTAGTATTTTTACTTATAGTATCATCCTCTGAGTGTGTTTGATATTCTGAATGTTGATCTCTTAGGTTATATATAGTAGCTATACATAGTTCTATTAGCGATATCCAAGTAATGCGTGATGTGAAAATGAATGAAAGAACTCTAACTGGTTTATTTAGTAATTGACTCTCCTGAATAGGGTGAACTGTTAAATTCTTTCTGGTGTATGATTTGAGGATTGGTGGAATAATATTTAAGGGAGAAGATCCATTTATCTCATTCTCTACTTTTCTACTAGTGTTATCCAGGGACCACATAAAGCAAAATCTTTTTCCTTGGATGCTTAAAATAACTCCATAATGCAAGCAGCATTAGAATATTCAATCATGATTTAACACTTAAATTTTTTTGTTACCTTCAGGCCCCAGTTGGACGCATTTTCTTTACCGGTGAACACACAAGTGAAAGATTTAATGGCTATGTGCATGGTGGATACCTTGCAGGTGGGCATGGATTCGAGAGAGTAGTGAACCCTATTCTCTGGCCATTTTTAAGATTTTGCTAATATTTGGAGATTAAACTGTTACAGGTATTGACACAAGTAAAGCTGTACTGGAAGAAATAAGAAAGGATGAAAGAAAAAATGATAACCAAAACCAGAATTTCTTGCTAGCATTGACGGGGTCATTAGCTTTGACTCAGACGGATGCAGTCTCAGGTCCCCACAAATGTGATGTTCCAACCCAATTATATCTTAGCGGCAAGCTTGCCATTCCAGAAGCAATCTTATGACTATATGGACCTCACTTTGGTGACATTGATGGTGATGAAAACAAGAAGAATGAGAGGAATGAAAAATTGGGTTTGGATCCAAATGTAGACCGACCCCTTGACACCATCCACAAGGTAGAATGAAAGAGAAAGGGAAAATATGTGTGAAGTGGGTGGTCACGTCTTCATAGAGCAGCTGCTATATATTCATTGCTGGTGCCTGGGCCTGGCTTTGGAATTTTGGCAAAGGAACCAGTTTTATTCTGGAGTGTGGGGCAAGGCATCCTTGTATCAGTCGTTCAGTGGATTAATTTGGACGAGAAATGATAGATAGATAGAGAAAAGAAAAAAAAAATCACACCGCAGATCCTAAATTGTACCTAAATGTTAATATATATATATAAAAGAAAGAACCCTTTGTTTTCTTAATTTTAATTGGAAATCTCCAGAATAACTTCAAGTATAAATAAATTTGTAATTTCTCTCAATCATAAAAATAGTAGTAGGCATCATAATTCATAACTCGCCTCCTCCCAACCAGTTTTATCTGTGCTGCATTTGACATAATAGAAAGGCTTCAAATCTCGCCCGGTATAAACACAAAAGATCATGGAGGTTCGCCTCCAAAACACAACATTTGAAGGGCTATCTGTATCAAGGAGTCTTGAACGTATTTATGTACAACTTTATTATCAAATAACCAATGATCAACAGAAATATCTTTCAAATATATAATGCTTTGGCCAAGTAAGGATATCTCCTTCGGCCTTCACTGGATACAGCTCCAAGTACACCTGCTTGCCATTTATTTGAGAATGAAACCCATTCTTTCCTCTATATATTAACTTTGGTATAGGGAAAGATTTTGCTTTTGTTTCAATGTAATTTCTCAGGAAAGAGTTTCAATAGTTCTGATGCTTACTGTTTTGTGTTTGCAGTGGCCTGGCGAATTGTTCTTCTTGTGTCTTAATGTCATTTGCATTTTCAAATTAATCTTGTACCAACTTGCTTATATAGTCATGCAAAATTTCTTATCAGCCGAATATCACATGACATATTAATGCCAAAAAAAAAAAAAATGCTTATGTATGTTGGATGAAACAGCAGCTGTCTAGGATCCCAACATCATATGTCATTTTATGGAAAAATGAGAAAATGTTCACAGAAGAAGAAACAGAATAAAAGAGGGGATGGTGTTGGAGCAATAAAGATGACACAGTTTCCTTGTAACCATTAGACATGGCTTTGTTCACAGCAGCACCAAGTTAAGGGATATATGTTGGGTCATTTGTAAGTTTGTGTCATTGCAGTTTGGTAACATGTAGTATTTATTCAATGTGAAAAGTATAATACAAAGTACACACAGCGTAAAATGCAAAAAAAAATCCAAAAACTGGAAATCAAAGGAAGAAGAAGAATATTTTCATTCAATAGCTTAAAACTATTATGAGAGAATATAAAATCACATTTTATGAGGGTGAGATAGAGTAATTTAAATATAACTGAGAAAAATTACCAGTTGTGGCTTCAGCATACTCTAAAGACAGTATGAATTCAAATTACGTAATCAACACATTAAGAAGAGAAGATGGGCAATGTATAATTTTGGTAACATTGCTCATATTTAATCACATTTTTTTATAAATATACTTTTTTTTTTGGAAAGGGAAAATAAATATAACTTATGTTAGCAGAAACATAAAATGTATTATCGATTCAGTAACAAGGGCTTACATTTTCGAGTACTTATTCCTTCTTTCATACTTTGCACGAATGCACTCAACACATACATATGCTCATGTGAAGTGTACAAAACACACACAGAGATCTCTCAGTACAGGTAATATACTTCAAATTTAAATTTCATTTTACCACTGTATTAGGAGTATATTATGCTGCTTTGCTTGTTTCACTCTGTTCGGTTATGTTGAGTTTCACCTGGTATAAGACTAAAGATGTCAGTCAATTAAGGTAATATATTACAAACCCCAAAGCCTCTCCACCCGAAAATTAAGGATCAGAAGGATTCATGACATAAGTACAGCTCCAACAGGGATCACCATCCACAATGTTCCTGATAGGGATAAAAACCAGAACTGCAAACTCATGTTATTTAATACATAAACAGATAAGGTCCACATTCAAGATTGCAATAGCATCGGATATGACTTTTTCCATGCATGATTTATGGTCCAAAATAGCTACAACAATATGTGAAACCCATAAGGAATGCTATCATTCATTCCTAAGAATAAGAAAAGTAATAGTCCCCTAGTCTAGTTACATTTGCTAAAGGAAAAATTCTCTCTAAAGGTGCTTGTCATAACATATAAATCCGAAAATCTATAAATAGATTTAACAAAAGGAATCATCACCAATCTTTTTTAACTAAATGTGATTGGCTACCTAATAAATCTATCCTCTTAAAAGAGCTCCTAAGCTTGACTAAGGGTCTCTAAAAAAATAGGTTTAAGTCTACTAATCAGAATAAGATTCGAGAGTTCGATTACATATGAGAAAAGTTATAGCACCCCACATGCCGATCCAAAAGATGATACTATTTTATTTTAAATTTATCCTAGGGTTTTGATTCTAATGGTTTCAAATTTTTATGTTAAACATTAAAAATAATTCTTAAGATTTTTCATCAATCTGACAAAATTCTTAAAAATATTTTCTCGCCTCAAGAGTATTCAAGAATTTAATTTGTTTTCTTGAAAAGGCTCTATTGTTGAAAAAAAATTTTTTTGGCTTTTTTGTAGAAAATATATCTAATTATTCCATCATTTAGGCCAAATTAGAAATATATTTTTTTTAATTTCTAAATTTTTCACCATTTGGGCTTATTTAAAAATTCTTTTAATTTTTATTTTTTTGAAAAGAAAATAATATGACAATTATTTTTCTTAAAACTTCATTTAAATTCTTCCACAATTTGGGATAAATTTAAAGAAATTTCTCACCTAAATTTTTTTTAAGAATTTACCATTTAAAATTTTTAAGAATCTTATAATTGGATAATTATCAAATATTTTCAACCAAATTTGGAAAAGAATACAATTACTTTTATTGAAATTTCATCTAAATTATTCCACAATTTGGGACAAATTTAGAAAAAAATTATCATCTAGATATTTCTAAGAAATTTATCATTTGAAATTTCTAAGAATCTCATCATTGGGTAATTTGTATTTAATTCCAAAATTTTTATTAATATTTTTTATTTTTTTATTTTTTTGTTTGAAAATAAATATTAATTATTGTTATTGAAATTTTGTCTAAATTATTCCACCATTTGAGATAAATTTAGACAAAATTTCTCACTTAAGAATTTTATAAAAATTTACCATTTGAAATTTCTAAAAAATTCCATCATTGGATAATTTGTATTTAATTCTAAAATTATTATTATTATTTTTTATTTTTTATTTAAAAATAAATATTAATTATTGTTATGAAACTTTATTTAAATTATTCCGCTATTTGGGACAAATGTAGATAAAATTCCTTACCTAAGAATTTTATAAAAATTTATCATTAGATAATTAATACTTATTCTAAAAATATATTTTATTTTTTTTTTATTTTTTATTTTTTCAAATTTAATCATGTAAAAATACTAAAAAAATAAACAAACATATAAATAAAATACTAAATAAAATAAACAAAAAATACCAAAAAAAATATAAACAGCTTAACTAAAGCGACTTGGCGCTGTTCGGCTTCAGACACAAAAAATAGCTTAAACGCGGGGCTCAAGGGGGCACAACTTGGCTCAACTTGGTTGAAGGAGTTGACTAAAATGTGGGTTGGCAGAAGCGGGTTGCGCTCGAGTCAGGTTGCCTGAATGAAAAACACGCGGATCCTGAGACTTTCTATAGCGAAAACGATGTGGTTTTGGGGCCGATATAAAATGCCAAATTCCTTCCTTTTTCTTAGATTTCTCATTTCCCTCTTTTTTTTCTCTTTTTTTTTTCTCTTTCTCTTTAGAATCGGATGAACTCCAATTGAATCTTCATCAAATTCTAAAAAATGTGATCAGAATTTGGGTTGATTCATTGAAAGTTTATCAAAAAATTTAACCGAGGTTGAAATCTTCGATTGAATTTTGGAAAACCTGCCAAAAAATTCAATCGGCATTTAAAAGTTCATCAAAAAAATTCAATTGAAAACTGAAAATTTTTTAGAAATTTTTCAAAAAAAATTTTTACCCAAAAAAATTCTTACAAATTTTTGAATGCTTTTGCGTATGTTTTTCTTGATTTTTATGTTTTTGTGTCTCTCTCTCTTTCATTTTTGATCTTTTCATTTATGTGTTTCTTTGGGAGCATCTATTTATAGGATTTTGATCAAAAGAACCCTATACCTTTACAAAATTCAATTCTCTTTTAATTTCAACATCAGTCTTTAAATACAATTTAAACTCTTCACTCACACAGTTTCACACAAATTTAATCTACCAGATTTTTTTTTGTTTTATTTTTTTAATTAACAAAAATCAGATTGAGTAGAACCTTAGACAGATTGGGGTATCTACAGCTACCCTTTTTTGCACATTTCTTGTGTAACAAAAATTGTGCAAAGACGTAGACATCCCTTCTATCCAGATAGCCATCCCAACACTTTTTTTTTGTTTTCTTTCTTTTTTATCTTTTTTTATTTTTTGTTTTTTAATAATCAGACACCCAAACTTGCTAAATAACACAAAATTCCCTTAAGCAGAGGCTTACAACTTTTAGAAAATTAAATAAGGCTCCTCTAAAAAAAAGTTCAACGACTTTGGAAAATAAATAATGCTCCTCTAAGTAGAGGCTCAATGACTTTGAAAAATAACTCTAATCGGAGGCTCAACAACTTTAAAAAAAAATGCTCCTCTAAACAGAGCTCAATAACTTTGAAAAATAAATAATACTCCTCTAAACAGAGGAGTAACAAATTTGAAAAATAAATAATGCTATTCTAAATAGAGGCTCAATAACTTTGAAAATAAACAATGCTTCTCTAATCAAAGGCTCTACAACTTTGAAAAATAAATAATGATCCTCTAAACAGAGGCTTAATAACTTTGAAAAATACAACTTCTCGACAATCATGTTCAGATGAGTCATAGATCATGTCTGATGAAATTTGTAATAAAAACTCAAAGATTCACAATTTGAGTTCAAAAATTCAAAGGTTCAAATTCAGAAGAACCTTTCAGCTTCATAAGAATTCACTGAAATTTGATTATCAAAATTTTAGTTTCATAAGAATTTGATTTGCAAAATTTTATATATGTAAAAATTCAGATTTATAAGATTTCAAGATTCGCATTTGTGAAATTCTCATCCAAAGTTTTAATTCAAGGATTTGCATGTAAATTGCAAGGCTCACATCCAACATTTATTCTTGTTTGAATTTTGGTGATTCACATTAAAAAGTTCAAAACT